CTCTATAAATATTTAACAGGGGTCCTTTCAGTAGCTGTGAATTACTAAATGTACGATTTTGTACTACAAATGGCACCGTTATCACCGAATCATTTGACTTTCAAACTCACAAACTTACTTTGGTATAGGCTATACCACGTTACTATAATTAGTATTGTTTCAGGTGGTCCGGTTTAGTGCAATTTCAGAGACGACAAATCGAAGTTACTCTCTCTTATTTAGATTAATTAACAAAACAATGAGTAAAGCTAAGCAAGAAAGCAAACCAATGATTTAATTTGCTTTGATTTACCCATTATTTTGCAGATTATATGCATCCATTACCCATTTTAGGTCTGTCTGCTAGTAAAATAATAGGTGCATATTGCATCTAAGTAAGCAAGCTAAAGCACGCCACAATCTGGATTGCTTACTTATATGCACTCATTATTCTCCCAGCATGCATCTAAATACTTTAGCATAGAGCATAGATTATTTTACTCAAGTTATTGTTAATGCTCGGCTGTAAGTGCATGATCTTTATTTGCATACCTTTACACATCGAATTTCCAAGAGACAATACTTTCATTCACACTTTAGACATATGTAAATACCAAGAAAAAATGGCGGTACCTATATTTGCAGTAAGCCTATTGTAAAAAAAAAACCTATATTGCGCATTACATAAATTCATAATATAATGCGTAGTTTATTATTGGTCGGTTGGTGCTATAAATTTCTCTACAAAGTCCAGAATATAGGACGGATTACACGAGCAAAATCGTTTGGTAAAGATTTCCGCTTAGATCCAAATCGCCCATTTATCTCTCGATGGCACTCCTAATGAATATAACGCCACATCTATTCATCTTAAGCATTAATTTATTCGAATAATTAACTAGTTAATTGGAATATTTTACACTTTGCTTCGTTAAATTCATTATTTTGGAGTAATTGCGTGGAGACATTTTTGAAATCAGAGTTGCCAGTTTATGTACTGGCGTTTTTTTTTATTATTCTTTATGGCAGTAAAGAGATAACTTCAAAAATTTTAGCATGAAATCATCAATAACAACAACAGATTTCATCTGAAAGATCAGTTCGATTTATATTCCTAATTTAAACTGAAATTTTTCAAACAAGAAGTACACATCTGGCATATGCTGTCGTGATGCAATTTTTTTTTTCGTTCTTTCTTTTGAGTAGCGATAGGACATCTTCGCAAAGAATCTTGAATTCTTTTCATATATTTTATTTCATTCGAAAATCATTACACAAACTTTTTTTCCCTCTTTTCTTCTTGTTTTTCATTCAAAAATCGCCTTTGGGTTCACATTTTTAAGAGAAATTCTCATTTTTCATCGCAAAAATCATTGCCGAATAGTAAACTTTTTGTCATATTTCATTCGAATATCATTTTTTAAATAATAAATATTTACGTCAAATTTCGCGTCCAACGCGTAATTTTTTTCTCCCCGCCGTGACGTCACAGAACGATTGCGAAATTTATCAAATTTAATCCAATCGGGATCGCTTAAATTTTAAATCCGCTTGACGTAACAATTAAAACGGAGTTCGACAAGTGCTGCCAGCTGGATTTTTTTGAGTTTTAAAATTTCGAATTTTTTTTTTTTTTGAAAATTAAAAACGTAAAAAAAAAGTTGAAACATTAAAACAGCGAATTTTTGAATTTTCCTTCAATAATATATCAGAAATCACTTTGAATATTTCTCACCTTCAATTGCTAATGCATCTGTTCGAGGTATCAGGGCTATTTCCCTTCAATGGCTTCCTTCCCCTCTCACACTTGACCCGCTTCCTTCTAGTGTGGATGCTGGCTATAAATCATTTCAAACGGTAATGTTCGTGCCACAAAACCTCATCGTCTTGTGTACTCTTTCCTCCCATCTATCATACTGTCTTCCGTACTGGAAAAATTTCTTTAAAAAAAAAAAGAAAAAACTTTTCTCTCTCGCCATCTCTCCCACAATAAATATCACCGAATTTGGTTTTGAAATTAAATATTAAGTTTTATCAACTGTCCGGTATAATTTTACGATTTCGGGGAGGGGAGGATCTACTGCGGTTCTTCCTCCTCTCCTTCTTTTAATATTTTATTCGGGCCAAGAATTTAATTTCGAAAAGGGGAAGCGATTAATTACGCGAATCACGTGATTGGTTAAGTGCGCCTACAAATCTACTGGATAAAGCAGTCTCTTTGACACTGTCTGTTACCCCCTGTTGACAAGCTTTATTGCTGACTTTGGGCAACAATAGCAACCGCCAATCGTTAACCCATTTGGTCACGTGAGAGGCTTTTTCTTTTCCTTCCCTCCTAGCAGATTAGCTTTGGTTAAGACAAATTTGCAGACAAATTTAATTTATTTTTACATTTCCAGACTTTCTTAAATTATTTTGCCAACTCCTTTTCGGTTAATCACGTGATCGATACTGTCTGATTTAAAAGCAGAGAAAGAAAGAGGAGAGGACCCCTTTCGAACCTACAAAGAGGAAGCGATAATTTAATTTGTCAACAAAAAAAGTCTATTTGATCCACCTGAAGTTTCTTCGTTCCTGTTTATTCCGAGTGCATTAAACAATTTAGAGAAAAACACAAATTGTTTTCGTTACCTCAGCGAATTGTCTTAAAATCCCGCCGACCACGTGGTTTGCAGAGAAGCAATTAAAACTGGAGAACGCAACCGTTTCTAATGTCCTTAATAGTTGGCAGGTAAACAAATTAACCCCACAATCACCTGGCAGCAGGAGGAGTAAACAAATTAACCCCTAATCACATAACAATAGTAAATTACGTTCCAATGAAATGAGGTATTAAACTGAATGATTGATCGAAAGAATCGAGCAAAAATTCCCAAATTAAAATATATACACATAACAAACAGAGGGGAAGTATAGCGATAAGTCGAAAAAAATTACCCCCCCACGAATTTTACATTTTTTGGAACCTTGAAACGTCGAGAAATTCAAAAAATGCATGGATGTTAGTGGAAGGCCACTTTGAAGCTTAATAACTCCTGTACCTTTCTTCCAATATTTCTGAAACTTCTCAGAGAGGTCTGTGTATTAGGGGCATATATGCTGTTAAATTTTGGTGGTTAAAGGTCGAGAGGGTGGGGAGAGAGACGAGGTCACAAGTCATATCACGAGTGGGTCTCAGGTTTAATATTTCACTCATTTACGTTTTATAAAACTCGTCTATCCTAAAAAGTAAGCTTTTACTTTTCAGGGTAGATGAGTCAGACCATTTAATAAAATCTCATAACTGAAGGCACCGCACACGATTTTAACTCTTGCCGGGAAAGTTAGGCAACTCGTTGCCAGATTTTTACACACGTCGATCGATTCAGAACGTAAACAAATAAATATATTCGAAGTAAATTTTTAAAATATTTTATTTGGAATTTAATTTGTTTTAGTAAACGTTTTCCGTCATCAATAACAAACAACTAAAACTGTATTTACTTTTACTACAGAATTTCTGAACTTATTTCTGTCTGAATAAACAGAAATTCATTATAAAGTAATAACCTGATCCTCTATTTACTTATCCGGTTCAAAAGTAGTTAAGTTTGAAGAATGCTTGATCTCGTTTCTTGCATGATTTCATCTTATAGAAGTTAAACTTACAATTTATTATAAGGAAATTGCATGTTAATTCTCCTCTACCATTAAATACAGAAGCGAAGAGATATTTCGGGATTTTTTACTTTATTTTTATACGCTATTTTCTATTTTTAAATTCAAAATTTGGCGTATAACATGATTTCCCTTTGAAAAAAACAAATATATTCCTTAAAATCGTTCCGATTGGTCAATAATTTGTATATTCGAATTTAAAAATTCAAAATATCTCCAATCGGATGGAATCAAATCCAAACCGGACCGATTATTGGTCGGATTTGAAATTTTAAATATAAATTACAGCCAATTAAGCTCTCGATTTCCGATCAAAACACCAATGAGGCGGAAGATTGTCGTTTTCGAATTCGTGTTCGGTCAATAAGCATTAAGTTATGGCGACTTTTATGTTTGGGACGTTCGTACGAAGGCAAACGGCAGAAATATTCGCGCGCAATCGAGTAAATTAATCGAACGACGTAGCAAATGTTTAAAAATCGATCTGATGACGATCCATTGCGAGTGGGTGGAAATGAGAGAGTGTCGCCATCTGTCGTGCGTTTGAGGAAGATTATTCAAGCTGTACCGGACGAGACGCCATGCCAATCGGTTATCTGACTAAAAAACGAACGACTAAAACGATGCCTCCGATTTATTACACTGCAAGAGTACTTAAAGATGTTCCTATCAAATAACCGGTTAAGGTTAAGTTAGATGGAGCACGTGTCAGCAGCGTTAGAAGAGGCTGTTATATATGACCCCTAGCGTCTACAATTGCAAAGTAATGGCGGAGTAACTTGACCACTTTAACGATCAAACATTATCGTCTATATTCAGCGGTTAAATGTTTTCGCCGCATTTCTCAAAGTCAGGCCATTTAAGGTGTGAAGGGGGACCGAAATTCCAAAAAAAGTTACCTCTCATTGATCTTGGGTTTCAATTTCGAACCTAGCCTAAAGAATATATTGCATACCCTGCCACACTGTTGAAAAATCACCCTCCTAACCGTGGCAATAGGATACCGCCTGCCTTGATTCTAGTTGATCCGGCACCCATTTTAGCTTGGTCATGCTGCCCACTACGCTTTGAATCATCCCCTTAGTTTCTAAGATAATGCAAGAAACAGAAGTCTGATAGGAATTTTGAATTCATACATTAGTTTTTACTTATTTTCTTTTTATTAAAAACCTGTCAACGTCTCCAAAATTTGATTCCTCTTCAATCTCCTGCGCATCGTACAAATGGTGTCATATTGCGTGCAGTCGTGGAGCGGCCGATTCCGCGCAAAATAATTTAATTTCTCTGTTTGTAATAAAATTTATTATTACACAATAAAAGTTTTACGATAATAATATTTGACATTACAATTGTATATATATATATTTAGTTTGTTTCCTGCTATTAAAATTTCATTTCTTCTAGAGCTTTTTCTTTTTTATATCCTCAAAGTTCTGTGGTACTTTGGAGACTAAAATTTGAAGGATGGCGAGAAGATATTTAATTATTTGTTAAGTTGTTAAGTTACTGTTCTAAAATAAACATTTATCAAATTCTATAATATCTGTTACTGTTTTCTGTGAGGTGAAAATAGAAGGGAAAAAGAAAAATAAAAGAGAAATTAGTCAAATCTACTGATATGACTTCAACAAATTTATATACAAGGAGACATATCTGTATCCAAATATGAAGAATAAAATATATATATATTTTGTATGTATGTATATATATATATATTGTCGACTCCCCTCCTCCCTAGATCCAGAGTTGAACAGAATTTTCAATGTTAAAGAATTTACAATATTTTTTTCTTTGATCTGAACATAAATTAGATGCTAATCACCGATAAACAATTTAGTCCAATTCTTCATACTGTATTGTCTCCAATGTGACCTTTGACGGACCCGGGAGTGCCATGTTTTCTTCGCTACTCATGTCATCATCCTCTAAACTGCTGAATAGTGACTGAAGGATGTTTCCAAAAAGGCCTTGCTGTTTTGGTGGCGGTGGAGGCATTCTGAAAAATAACTGGCCAATTTTATCAAGATATTTTAAATAAGTTAGATCGCGATTTAATGCTATCCGATACTGCTCACACAATACTGTAAACACAGGCAGCTTCCCATTGTCAATGGCAGGAAGAAGAAACCAAAGAAAATTAAGAAGTGGTAAAAGAAAGGGAGGTGCTGGGTTTACTTTTGGATGTTTCTGTGCATATGCGTGGAATGCTATTGTTGCTGTCGCTTTATTTTTAAGGCACAAATATTGGAAAACAGCTTGCGGTGCTGAGTATGTGCCTCGAGCACCTAATAAAAACGATTGATTGATTGATTGGTTAACATTTACACCCCACATGGCCAGCTTACCGATGAAGCCTTAAGCAAGGCCACCTAGGATGACCACAGGCCATGACTGTTGGGGGTCAACTGGAATGTGCACCACCCCCATTGGGATGCGGGTCACGCTCTTTTCACATGGCTTTTGACGGCTGACTATGACTGCCTCAATTCCGGGGAACCAACCCAATTTTTCTATGGAGGTGAATCAGCTATCGATATAACTTTTTGCTCAACCGATCTTCTGGGCTCAACAATGTGGGAACCGTGCAGGGACACGTTGACAAGTGATCATGCCCCTATTGTGACAACAGTGAAAATGTCGGGGCCCCTCTTGGATGCACAGTTTCCCACGTTAAGTATCGAATGGACTGGATTTGGTATGCAAACTGCTTGCGGCATAACCTCAACCCCCACCTCACACTTACAGTGCCTTTTTTTGGATAGTTCGGCAGACGATTTCGGACACTACGAAGTGCTCACTTGCCCCTGTGTAGGCACCTACGGGTGAAGAAGTGGCTGGCCTTTAACTTAGCCTGGAAATTAGCATCCCTAACTTGGTGGAGAACGTATAAAAAGCTGAGTGCAGAGCTCCGTCAGAGCATATGTCAGTTTCGGCGAGAGTGGTGGAGTCAAATCTGTTCTAGGCCCCTCACTACATCCGTGATCTACCGGATTTTCCGACATCTACATGCCCGTTGGAGAACGCGGAGGATCACTTTATCCTACAGAAGCCTATAGTACTTGTCACGCCACACCAACAGGTGGAGGAGTTGGCGAAGTCTTTTGGTCACTCTCAACCACAGGGGTGTTTTATGCCCCTACCAGAACCTAGCTGGCCACAGGCAAGAGGCGTCGAACAGCCCTTCACGCTGCAGGACATCCAACAGGCCCTCCGTAGGCTCAAACCAACTGCACTGGGCCCAGACCAANATCAGCGATTCCCAACCTGTGGTACGCGTACCCCTAGGGGTACGCGATAGGTTGTTTAGGGGTACAGAAAAAAGTTAGTTATTATGGCAGAAAAAATAATATATTATCTATCACAAACTAATAGTATTAAAAAATTATTAGATAAAAAATGTTCCTTGCAACAATCACAACTTTATTATACATTTTTTTCTTTTAGGTTTTTTTCCTTTAATTTAAAGTTACAATATGTAAAATTAACAATACGGTTACTCACTAAATTTCTTAAATGAGGGGTACAATCTAGAGATATGACATGTCACGGGGTACGCTAATGAAAAAAGGTTGGGAACCACTGTTATAGAATATTAGATGTACCAGTACTAATTATCTATTATAGTGGTTCTCAAAGTTATCAATCTGCAAACCACTTATATCTCTGTCTACCTCTTACTCTGTAAATACCACCTTAGATAGCAATAGATTGTAACAAAATACTTTGTCTATCCAGTAATCTAAGAGAGATGTGATGTATGAAAATATTTTCTCTCTAGCATTATAGCATAGAATTGCATTTTGAAAAAATGGCTATATGAATCTGCAAACCACTTGGTACATGCTCTGAGAACAACCAATGTAAATGACATTATGAGTGTTTTTTTTATTCTCAAGACAGGTTGCAAAATTTTTAATAATTTGATTTGATATAGGTCACATGATTACATACAAAAAAAACTGCCTCTAGACACGCAACAGGCCAGCTGCCTCCAAACATATTGAAGTTGCACCAGAGGATGCCACTTTTTGCTTCTGGGAAATCTCAAAGTGTTTTGCTAGAGAGATCAGAGATTCTCAGATATTGCCGAGTAAATAAGAAAACAGCACAAAGCATCCTCTCAGATCTCTGAGTAAATAAAAAATACATCCTATGGCTTTCAAACACAACTGAATGAAATCTAACAAGGTAATGACATTTAATAAACAAACATAATTTAAAATTATATTAAAATTCAAGAACACATCATCAAGAATTATGAATATTTTAATTAGAGTTATCCAAATTATCAAAAATTGCCGTATTGGTAATAAACAAATATCTTCAAAAAGATAGACAGTAATTTACTGTTATTTCTTTTATATAAAATAAATAATCAATGTATATGTATATAATATCATATATGAAGTATTTATCTTAATTTCTTAAATTAATTCAAGTCTTCTACTTCTAAATAATCTGTAAATCAAATTGGAATTAATAGAGCATTTGTATGCATCTGATACAAACTCTCTTAATTCAACTGTTATCAGAACAGTCTTCACAATTTAAGATATTGAACTTCTTAATATAGCATTTACAATTTTTGTTTAAGAAACAAAACATTTATTTTAAATTATAATTTAATATAATCAACAGAATTAGTAATTTTTTATTTTTTTCACACTTCTTTGTCTTTTTCAAAATATATTTATCCTTATTTATGATTTATTCACATCACAGAATAAATTTCTGGGAAACAAAAATTAGTTTGCATTTTTACTACTAGGTGAAAATATGGCACTTCAAGAACAAGTAATGTAATGTTATGCAAATTACTGTAGAAATAAACACAACATAATGCAGCATATTACCAATATTCTGACCAAAATGCTTTGCACACTGACTGATCACTCCATATTAAGCTCCCAATGCTCCCAAACACAGATGGCTCACAGATTTGAACACAGTGCATAAAATAATATTTTGCTTTGCCAATTTATGGTTTTTTCTCAAAGCATCATATTTTCTCCCAGTGACAAAAATATGAACTAATTTTTGTTTTCCAAAAATTCTCAAGGTGTGACCATCCTGTAGACTAGGGATTGTATACTGGTTTACCGATTTACCGGTTAACCAATAAATTGACAAAAAAACATTTGATAAACTTACTGGTAAATTTCAAAAATTTACCGGTAATTCAGTAAATGAAAAATCCATACTAGAAATTTCTATGTAGAAAATATTGTGTTTATAGATATTTAAAAGGGCTAAAGGGACATTGAAAATAAACAAAAACAGGTAAGTGTAAGCAACAATTTACCTCATTATTAATTTTATGTGAGATATTTTTCATTTAATTTTAATTTAATGACCATTCGTTCAGCAAGTGTTGAATCAGAAAGGGTATTCTCAGGATCTGGATTATTTTGTACAAAAATTAAATCAAAATTAGGAGATAAGACTATAAATAATTTAGGTTTCTTGAGAAGTTAATTTTTTAAAAAATGGTAATCAATAAAATGGTATTAGGTACTATATATTATTTTTGTTGTATTTTTATTTTTCTGTTTATTTCTATATTTATTATTATAGTTTGTTTAGAATAACACTTTAATTTTTATATTTTTTATATTTGATATCTTTGAAATAAAAATGTGAAATGGAAATCATAATGACTTATATTTTTTATCACCTTAATTTTATTTTTCAAGAAAAAAAATTTACCGGTAAACCGGTATTTTAATTTTCATTTACCAAATTACTGGTAAATGAAAAATTCGGTAAATTTACAATCCCTACTATAGACTAAGTTTCCTCAACAAATGTCTATTCAAACTGGCCCGGTGGACTCCAAATAGGGTCAATTTAATTAGAACCATTCTGTATACATTATATACTATTCCATACTGAGATTCACTTTTCTAATTTGTGATTTGTTATAAACTTTTTGTTGCCAAGCAAACATTAGTAGTCTAAAGAGACAGCAATCACAGAACAGGAAATCAAGGTTAAAAGAATAAGAAAGCATTCTGTCATTCCATATCCCAATTTAATTTAGTCAAGTCAGTATATCCAATTAGATTAAATGTAGGACATTAATTTGATCAAGAGGAAAACAATCACCTGAAAAAAGGTTTAGATTATTTTTTCAGTGTTGTTTTTTTTTAATTTGTCATAGCATATAGTTTTTGTTAGCTTGTTTGGATTATCTTGTTTATCAATGGCAGAATCTTGAATTATTTTGATTTAATTGGACTTTTACTCTCAAACTTCATTCTGTTACATTTGTTTCTAAGAAAAAAAAAATACAGATCATCACAACTGATAGACTATTAAAATGGGAGTAAGAAATTTTGTTTTCCTTTCCTGAAATAATCGATTTAAACATGAAGTTTAAACTTATATTTCATTATGATGATAAATGTTGTTTTTAAACAGTTAAAAGTTGTCATAAATATATTTTAATACTAATTTATATATAATTACATTATTTTTATTTCCATAAGTTTAAGAGTTTGGATAAGAGTATAATTCTTATCCAAACGCTTCTGTCTGAATTATTAATTTTCATAATTAATAGGTTTAGTAATTAGCTAAGATAGTTAATGATAATTGAGAATTGAATTCTATAAAACTAACAAAATTACAACTAATAACTTTTGTTAAAAAGCATTCATAAATTCTATGTTAATAAAATCAATATATACTAATCTTTCATAAAATTTTTATAATTCTCATTTATAAAATATTATAAAGCTAGCTACATTCTTCAGCTAATCTATGCTGGTCATTTGTAAGTATTGAAGGTTTAAGTCACATAGTGGTGTAAGCAGAGTTTAAAATCTTCTACTTGGTTAGCACCCTCCCCATTAACGCCACATTTACAATCGTCAAAAATTCGGAAAACTGAGGGGTCAACAAAGGGAAAGAAATGGCTTGGTCAGGGGATAGAGAAGAGAAAGGTTCCCACCTTTCATCCAGGACACATGTGGATCATATGTAAAATTCATCTGTGCTTGTGATCACCTTTCTTTTTAGTTCAATTATTATATTCTTAACATTTGTGTTATTACAAATTGGCGCAGTTGACAGGATTTCAGTACACAAACTGTATATATAGTTTGTGTACTGCCTTTCAAATTCATGGTTCAGAAGATAGAAGACTCGTACTTTATCTCCCGATATCAACTGGAAGGGGAAGATGAATGGATGGAAGTCGACCAAGAATTTCAAGGAATTGAAAATCATCCCGCAATTTCATCCTTGTCAGTTTTTCG